GCAGTGTGCTGTGCCTTGTGTGTGCTGCGTGTGCGTGTGTGTGTGCGCTGTGTGCGTGATGCTATGTGTGCGTGTGTGCGTGCGGCGTGCGCGTGCGCTCGTGTGCGTGTGGCCCCGGGGGCGTGTGTGGGCGTGAGTCGACAGTAACTTCGCGCTGATGGCGGACTATCAGGTTAAAAAGTCGTATAGTTGCCGAAAAACTATACAATGGATTGTGCAGAAAACCTGTCGGCAGCTAACCCATTAGTAGCATTTGCGTGCCAGAGGTCATCATTACGTCATATCAGGAGTGAATAATGACATATTCACTCCTGGTTATATGTATTCTGCGCAGGAAGCGAAGAAAAACACGTTTTGTTTTTATTCACTCCTGATCCTATGAACATTATGCCATTATAAATTATATCAATATAGCTATATAATAATACAATCGACTGCACATATATTTGTATTATTATCTGCTTGATTTACTTTGGTGGCCGTATACGATATGCCATCCACACGGGACACGCATCACCACGCGCACGCGCAACCGCACACGCACACAGCACGCACGGCACGCACGCGACCGCACGCACGCAACGGCACGCACATCAGCAACACACACACACACACGAGTGCCAGCCACCTGATCCCCCGTCCTCGTTCTGATATTCAACTACACTCAGTATTGTCTTCCCTTTCGATTTGCTCATCGAGCATAGCAACGATATAGTACTGTCACTAGTAGCTTGCCTTGACCCCACAGCCTATATAGTGCAACATGCGAGTGAACGGCGAGTATACTAGGAACATCAGCGAGCTCATGACCGCTTCCACACGCGCACCACCACATTTAGATAGGTACGCAAAGACCTATATATTGTAACTATAGGGTCTTGGTAACGCGTACCGATCGCACGGCGCACGCACACGCAGGCACCCACCCGCGCTACCTCGCGGTCAACTTGCTGACTAGAAAACGCCGCGATAGGCTACCACGGGTGCTTGCGCTAAGGACACGCACACGGTGGCAAGTTGAGCGCCGAAAAATAAGAGCGGTCTGGGCTCTTCATGATATATGATTGATCACGCTGGTGGTATTCTCCTTGCGCGTTCGTCCATGGTCGTTAGATTACGAACGCTTCGAAGCAAATGACTCGAAGCGATATGAACACGCCGAGTTTGTGCACTAATCTTGTATTCATTCCGGTACTTAACTATATCGGACATTTGTCTACTCTTGTTAAGTACCTGATCAAACACGATTGCTTACGGTGTAATCCTCCTACTCAAGTGGTTGTACAAAAATGCCTTCAACATAACAGCACACAATGAACATCCGTCCAACAATTTTCGATCACGAGAAACTGCGCTTCTTTCCTCCGTATATCGTCAGATTTTCTGCATCCCTACTAACTTCTTATATCCTCCCTCGTATAAGCACGCTCTCTCTCTTCTGCCTACTTTCCACCTTTACAATATTCTCCAACACACGCTTATATGCCAGGCTTCTGATACCTTACTAAACCTTACAATGGTTACCAAACACGCGTTTTATGCAGCTCTGCATACCTACTAAACTATACACTGTTACCAACACGCGTATATAGCCAGACTCTCGCATACCTACTCAACCTTACAATTATTCCAACACGCGTATTGCCACTCTGCACCCTTACCTACTAAACCTTTTTACAAATGTTCTAACACTCCCGTTATATGCCAGCTCTTGCTATACCTACTAACCTTAACAATGTCTCAACACGCGTATTATGCCGCTCTGCATACCTACTAAACCTTACACATGTTGTTCCAACACGGCGTTCATCCAAGCTCTGCATACCTACTCAACCTTACATATCTCAACACGCGTTATATGTCCGCTCTGCAATACCCGTTAACTAAAACCTTACAATGTTCTCAACACCCGGCGTATATGCCAGCTCTGATACCCTACTCAACCTTACAATTGCATCCAAACGCCGTATATGCCAGCCTCTGCATACCTACTAAACCTTTAACAATATCTCCAATCCCACGCGTATACCAGCTTGCATACCTACTAAACCTTAATAATGTCCAACACGGCGTCACTACTTGCCAGCTTCATTGATACTACTAAACTTATAATGTTAGTCAACACGCGTATATGTCAGCTCTGCATACCTACTAAACCTTACATGTCCACACGCGTATTACTGCAGCTCTGCCCATACCTACTAAACCTTACACATACTTTCCATCACGCGTATATGCCAGCTTTGCATACCTACTAAAACCTTTATCAATGTTTCCAACAGCGGTATTATGTCAGCTCTGACTACCTAACTTAAACCTTACAATGTTCCAACACGCGTATATGCCAGCTTTGCATAGCTTACTAAACCTTACAATATTCCAACACGGCGTATAGTCAGGCTCTTGCATACCTAACTAAACTTACAATATGCCAACACGCGTATTATGGCCAGGTCTTTAGCCCACCTTGCTAACCTCTATATTTCATACATGTGACTTAATTAGATATCTAACTGAGCTTAAACAGTCACTCGGGACCGTTAAACCGAGCAACACTCGTGACTTAGAGTCGTTCATGAACTTAAACCCTAATATTGTCTTTTCGGCGCCTTGCAATCGGGCTATATATATTCTCAAGCTAACACATAATTTGCTTATAAAGAAAGCATCATGCATAATCAGGTCACGCGAGTAAGGTTGAATTAGTTCAGGGGAACATGACAGCAGGCATGCTTATCTTACGACAGTTCTCGTCAATGACCACGTATTGCTCTGTTTGTTTCTCTCACGGGCATATCTTACTGGATTCACCGTAAAGAGCCAATGATTAACGGACCAGCTTTGCCATAACTCACCCACCGTCCATCGCATGTTGTCACCGAGAAAGTGAGGCCCGCGCTAAGCCACTTTCAATCAAACTGAATACAAATGTAAAAGCAAAAAATCGCTAAATTTCGCAAAACGGCGCAAATGCAGTTACCGTGTTTAAAACAAGACGTAGGTGTTTAAAAGCAGTTACCGGTGTTAGAAAAGGGCGGTCGCTTTGTATAAAACAGTGCCCCGTGGGGCACTCATGATCATTCGCAAAACGGATTACGCATCCCGGTTCGCTTATATTTGAAAGCCTAGGTTAAAAGGGTTTATAAACCAACAATCTCGAAGCTCAACGTGAAAACGCTAGCACGTAGCGAGACATTTTTTAAAGTACCTCATCTTAGATAAATTGAGAATAGGGTAAAACTTTATTTCCGTGTTGATAACAATCAAACATAATTAATCATTGCCCTTTTTTGAGGGAAAAGCAATATTAAAATAACCTCTAATTAACCTTCAACTACGCCATCCCTATAATGCAAGGAAATTTTCACGACCACACGAAATGTGCAAGAAATTTCAAAAAAATTTCTAAAACATATGGCATAATTTAACCTCTTAAAAAAGTTAACACACTGATAACATAATTCTATCTGCTTTTTCAAAAAAGGGTATATATCTGGATCGAACAATCTTTCCCCTGGGCATGACCCCCACCACCTCTTCACGCCCGACTATCGTGTATACAACGATAAAGAGAAGCAGCAGGCACGCGCGCCGGCACGGTGGCAGCGACAGCCAAACAACGGCGGGAACAGTGGGCAGCAACACCGGCGGAAACATTGGCAGCAAACACGCCGGGAACAGTGGCAGCAACACGCGGCAAACAGTGGCAGCAAACACGCGGGAAGCAGTGGCAGCAACACGCGCTGGAACAGTGGCAAGCAACACGCAGGAACAGTGGCAGCAACACGCGGTAACAGTTGGCAGCAACACGCGGGAACAGTGGCAAAACAACCGCCCAACCGGGGGAAGCTATGGCGCACGCAACACGCGACAGGTGGCCACAAACACGCGGTAACAGTGGCAGCAACACAGCGGGAAGCAGTGGCAGCAACACGCGCGCGAACCAGTCGCGCAGGCCAACACGCGTACGAACAGTGGCAGCAAACCACGCGGGAACAGTGGATCTCCAGCAACACGCGGGAACAGTGGCAGCAACACGCGGGAACAGTGGCAGCAACACGCGGGAACAGTGGCAGCAACACGCGGGAACAGTGGCAGCAACACGCGGGAACAGTGGCAGCAACAGCAACATGTGAGAGTGGCAGCAACACGCGGGAACAGTGGCAGCAACACGCGGGAACAGTAGCAGCAACACGCGGGAACAGTGGCAGCAACACGCGGGAACAGTGGCAGCAACAGCAACATGTGAGATTGGCAGCAACACGCGGGAACAGTGGCAGCAGTTACCAACAGTTCAAAGCGCGTAAAACGTGTAGCATGGGCACGTTTTTTAAAACGCGGGATCGGTGGGGGCGCGTGCTGCGGCGGCGGCAGCAGCACGTGCGGCACAGCAGTAGCACGGCAGCGGCGACAGCTACAAGCATGATCGGTTGGACGCGGATACGCGGGAACAGCAGCAGCACGTACGACGCAGTGGTAGCATGGCGGCGGCGACAGCTACAAGCATGATCGGGTGGACGCGGATACGCGGGAACAGCAGCAGAGATGCCAACACATATTTGAAGCAATCTGTAGTTTCTGGCCATCAAATTATTAGTTCGAGGGTCACGTATAGTGACCCGAGTTTGCTAGGGGGGTCCGGCATGCCCCCCGCAAAATTTCTTGATTCTGAGATGCAATTTCCTGCATTATGAGGGTCAAAAATGACAATATAATTGACAAAAAATGACAATACTTAAAAAAAAAGAAGTAGTAGTTCGTAGTTTGATACAAACTGGTCGTAGTGGTGCAAAAGGAATAGAAATTCGTATAAAATACGGATAAATCGTAGTGGTTGGCATCTTTGCAGCAGCAGCACGGCAGTATAGCACGCTGCAACACACCGCGCCCAAAAAGCAACGACGTACCTGTTCGTGTCCTTCATCGTCCTGTAGGCGATCTCCAACTCTCCGTCCTCGTTGAGCATGTCCGAGTCTGCGCCGCCATACTGCTCGCGCAGCACTGCCGACATGCCCTGCTGACGCATCGCCAGGATGCTCTTCAGCTGGATCACCTCGTCGCGTCGCCGCTCCAGCTCCGCCTCCATCGCCGCAAACTGATCTGTGGGGAGAGAGGAGGGGGTATAGCGTGGAGAGAGAGAGAGAGTGTGTGTGTGTGTGTGTGAGAGAGAGAAAGAGAGAGAGAGAGAAAGAGAGAGGAGGGGCGGGTGAGCATGGCGTATAGTGTGGAGAGAGAGTGTGTGAGAGAGAGAGAGAGAGAGAGAGAGAGAAGAGAGAGAAGAAGGGCAGGTGAGCATGGCGTATAGTGTGGAGAGAGAGTGTGAGAGAGATCCAGGGAAGGAGGTAAAGAGAGAGAGGGAGAGAAGAGAGAGAGAGAGAGAGAGAGAAGAGAGAGAAGAAGGGCAGGTGAGCATGGCGTATAGTGTGGAGAGAGAGTGTGAGAGAGAGAGCCAGGGAAGGGAGGTAAAGAAGAAGAGAGGGAAGAGAAGAGAGAGAGAGAGAGAGAGAGAGAGAGAGAGAGAGAGAGAGAGAGAGAGAGAGAGAGAGAGAGATGCCGAGAGAGAGAAAGAGACACACACACACAGAAAGACACACACCGAGAGACAGATGGAGTGTGCAGTATATATGTAGAATTATAGGTGTAGTGTATAGAAGTATATGTGTAGAATTATAGGTGTACTGGAGTTTATTCTGCTGTATACATAGACTGCATCGTAAGTATGCTGTTTTGTCACAGATTATCCACAAGGAAATGCTATGACTTACAGCTCCACATTTGAGACAACGCCACTCATTTGACTGACAATTGTGGCTAATGTAACTTTGGGCAATGGAATAATCGAACTTACCGATCATGACCTTGTCTGAATCGGAACCGGATGTATCCGCTACAGATTCTCTCAGCTTCCTTATATTCTCCTTCAGTTTGGAATTCTCAATTTCGAGATCATTGATCTACATGAAAGAAATCTTATTGAAATTTTATAGATAAATGGCATGGCATGCAGCACTACCAGCCAATATGTGTCAAGCAGAGCATAATTCTGCCATCAAATCCCTCATGGACCCAATTCTGAAATGTTATTAGGTTTTTAACAGATTTATCATAAATTCGAGCGATGTACTCTCCCTAGAAGAACAATAGATCAGTTAAATGAAAAATACGACCTATGGACAATTTGCACTGTCACATCGAAGAATTGCAATTCACTTTCGGTACAGGTTGTCGGATTTCGACACAGTGAACATAGTTTACCTTCAGCGACTCAGCTGCAGTCATGTCAACCTCCTGCTTCCGCTGATCGTCGGGTGACCCCGCGGTGACCCTGATGTCGGGTCCATTCTCCTTCCCGGACATTCTCGCCGTGAGCGTGTCCACCTGGTCCTGTAACCGCTCCCTGCGCGAGATCGCAATACAAACTCGGTTACAACGCACATACATAACAACAATAACACACAACCCAACAACCCCAACGATAACATACATACGATAATACAGTTCACACTCTACACGTAGTACGTTACACTCGTTAGGTCGTGTCGCGCGAGCGTGTCGAGACTTCGTGGGTCACGTCGCAATACAACCCCGGTGTACGATAACGATACGATAATACAGTTTACACTCTACACATAATGCGTTACACTCGTTAGATCGTGTCGAGACTTTGCGGGTTACGTCCGAGACAGCTTTTCCTGTGACGAGAAGATGAGCGACTGCTCCCTGTGGTGGACATCGCAATACACCTCGTGTTTACACGTGTAGTACATTACACTTTACACTGTGTCGAATCTTCAGTTCTCACGTCTACGACAGCTTTCCCGTAACAAGGAGACACTGTATATGCTGTATATTTCGTGGTGGTCTAATTTTCGCTAATTTCCCGAACGCGTGCCCAACCCGCGAAAATAACAGCACGCGAATAATTAATACCGAATAATTAATAATTCACCGACCGTGAAATTAACCACTCGCGAAATTGTCCGTCGAGTCTGAATTCGCGAAAATATCTGTACGCGAATAATATGGCGTATACAGTTACTCGTCTGCGCACCTTTCAGCTGCCAGGTCCTTCACCTGCGCCATCAGCTTCAGATGCACCTCCTCGTTGCTCATGTCGTCTTCGTCTTCCGCAGATTTCCGGTCTGGCTTCACCCTCCGTGTGGCCGTACCATAGCCCTGGTCCTGCAATGGTAGAGTGACCCCGCTTCGATAAATCGTTAACCTAACACTACTACTGTAACTACACACTATGTAAATCACTGCTACGTAAAAAAAATTAACAGAAACGTATGGACAAAAATAACTTAAGAGCATATAAATAACTAGGCTGAAATGTAAAATATACGTTTTACAAGGTGGAGAGAAATCGCCGTGCTCTCTGCTTTGGCTTGCCCCGCAAAATCCAACCACTCTGCTTTCCTTGACGAAACCCAACCACCCGGCTTTCCCCATTAAAACCAAACGCTGTGCTAATCCCACGAAATACAACGCTCTGCTGTTACTTCCACATATGACTCTCATTGCCATCTCTGCATCATACATGTTTTCTATAGATTAATTCTCCATATCATTTCCACTATCTCACGGCTATTACACACGAGCAGTAACTGTATATATGCGGCGACTGTAAGAGCTGCACTTACGCCTATGCTGCCGTCCTCGTTGCGTATGGACTGGACATCGTCCATCCTCACCGTACTGGCTTCTGACGCCTCCGTCTCTATGCTGGCCGTGCTGATGTCAGACGAAGAGCGAACGTGACGACGGGGTGGCGCCCTCTGTTGAAGCTAGGGGGTATTATATATGTATAATATATAATATATATATATACATATGTATATATACATAGTACTACTATACATACTACTGTACAGACTATACTACTGTACATTGTACTAACTATACATTAGTATAGATGTATTGCATTGCATTTGGTTACAGAAAATTTTCATTGTATGCATTCTGAAAAATGGTCAGTCAGCTACAAAACGTCTATTAGTAAATAATAAATGTTATATAATAGATAGCTATACAATTACAGTGCTTTTCATGAAACACCCCACCTCATATGATATATGTATCTTTCTCTAACTGTCTAACACATCAAACATTCAGAGAACCATGAAAGAATTAATGTTTTAAATGGGGAAACGTTTTCTTTAACGTTCAACGAACATCAGTTTCGGTTAAGAACGTGGCAGTGTGGCACTTTGGTGTAAAGATGCGATAGAAACCTTTTTCTTTAACGTTCAATGAATGTCAGTTTCTCGTTAAGAACGTGGCAGTGTGGCACTATGGTGTAAAGATGCAGTAGAAACGTTTTGTTTAACATTCAATAAACATCAGGCTTGGTTAACGACGTGGCAGTGTGGCACTATGGTGTAACGATGCAGTAGAAACATTTCGTTTAACGTTCAATGAACATATGTTTTGGTTAACGACGTGGCAGTGTGGCACTGTGGTGTAATGATGTGGCAGAAACGTTTTCTTTAACGTTCAATCAACATCAGTTTCTCGTTAAAGACGTGGAAGTGTGGCACTCTTGTGTAATGATGCGGCAGAAACGTTTTGTTTAACGTTCATCCACCATCTGTTTTGGTTAACGACGTCGTAGTGTGGCACTGTGGTGTAAGGATGCAGCAGTGTAGCACCTGTATGAGCTCAAATCTGTGCTCCAGCTCTGCGTGCCTACGCAGCAGGTTCTGGTGAGCCGATCTCTCCTCATCCAACTCTGCCTGCGCCATCTGCATCTCATCGTCTGTCCTCTGCCTCTCCTCATCTGCAAGAGGGAAGCCCCGATGATTCATCATCTACAGTTTCACAGAACATTCACAGTCACATGGTATATGATGATTGGTTTGGTCTCTTCTGGTTGCGATTAGTTGCAACACATGTAAGCAAGCGTTACTACGACATTAGCTATTTCTTACACTAGTAGCTAAATTATGCAGAATTATACGTAATGGGGCTACTGCTACAGCTTACGATAAGTTGTGACGCATGTAAGCAAGTGTTATTACAACATGGAACTATTTCTTAAATAAGTAGCACATTACAAGGAATTATCCGTAATGAATATACTTTCTAGCTATGTTGTACAGCTGGCAGCGCAAACGTTTCGTGATTCTGCTGCGGCGCATTTAGCATTTGCTTCACAGCCGCCCCCCGGACTCACGTTTATCGCTCTGTCCCAGGTTTGTTAGGGCCTTCAATTCCTCCCTCAGCTCAGCATTCTCTGCCTGTAGTCGTGCGAACTCCTACACAGCACCAAAAACAGTTAGCATCCATTCACTACCGACAAGACAAGTTTTTAACGTAATCATAAAAATAACGTAATGCGACGTAACTAACTAAACGTTAACATGTTTTGACATCATTTTAACGTTCCATCGTTAAAATGGCTGCCATTCGCATCACGTTAGACCTTCTACGCCGCAGAGTACCCCCGCCACGCACCTCTAGGTAACCTTTCTCTGCGGCGTCCTTCTCGCTTCCCAGGTCCTTCTTCTCCTCGCGTTCGTTCTCCAGCTCTTTGCTGATGGCGCGGACGGCCTCCTCCAGCTCCGTGATCTTGTTCAAGGCGAGCTTCGACTCCTGCTCGCTGGCCTTCAGCACGTCGACCTGCGCCCGCAGCGCGGCCACGCTCTCCACCCCGACTCTCAGCCTGCCGTTCTCCTTGTTCTACACCGAACGAACGAATGCGCGTTAGAATACGAGTGGGAGGTTGCAAGCGGGCATTTCCCGTGCTCATCTCATAACCTTGTTCTATACACCAAACGCACACAGAAAATAGTTGAATTATTGAACGAACGCAAGTTAGTTAATTAATTTTGAAATTAAGCGCACGCATGTTAGAATACGGAGGAGAGGAGAGGTTCCCTGCACCGTTTTCGTCTTGTAACACCATCAAAGTCTCGTGGAGAAATGCGGTGACGCACCCTTCAATTTGAATCGAAATGGTGCGACTACAGCGCATGATCTGTCTCGCTCCGATTGAATAACATTTGTAAACTGACGTCGTTCAATAACCACAATTAAAGAGCGACTAGGGTGAAACAACGTCTTCCATTTAACGGGTCTGGTTGGCACGTCGTATCTTGAACTGTTTAGGAACCGGGTTATAATCGTGACAATTCGTTATTTCTAAAGAGAAGTTAATTAGTGATTAGGAAGATCAGTGAGAGTGGCAACGAAAGCAACACGTGTGAAGAAAATACACTCACGTCATCACTGCATTATGCTAGGGCTGGAGCCTTATTCTCTGCAACCTCACCTACAGCCAAATACTGTTGATATTACTTACCACTTCATCCACCTTCTGCTGGAGTGAAATGATCTTATTCTCCAGACCAAGGTTCATCTTCTTAACGTGTGCTATAGACCTGGCCTCAATCTGTCGGCAAAAAAAACACATGCTAGACACTCCTCCCTCGCAAATACCAAAGCTATGCACATTTAAAAGTATGCTAGACTCTCCCCCCCCCCACGTAAAACACCAACGATAGACATGCTTAGAAACTATGCATATTCATGACTCCCTCATTACCTCGTCACACATTCTCTACGGACAAAAATAAACTCGGAATGCAGAAGCCCGAGTTTTCTCATGAATAACTAGATTGACACACCAAGAAATGCGATGAAACATCGAGTTTTCTCATGAATAACTAGATTGACGCACTAACAAATGCGATCTAGGTAGGGATACCTTGAGTGCCTTAAACTGTGCCTGGGCTGCGCGTCTGCGCACGTGACACTGCAGACGGATGAGCCCACACCTGACCTTCTGGTATCGTTTCTTCGTCAACCACATACGCACGTTCCTCTGTCGTAAAAAAAAATATCAACCATCACGAATAAGCCAGGGATCTCCGACTTTAAACACTGTCACGCACAAAAAAACAACTTTACAGAACGTCTTCGTTTAATAAATAGGCAATAAATCATCAACAACGATTTTTTTCCGGTGCCGGCAAGATGCAATTCAACATGTAGAATTAGATATTAATACATATAATATAATCATGTAATACTAATTCTAAACATATATATATATATATATTTATTTATTTAATTTCAGTGATATGCACCAGAAATATTTGCCGACGCTAATAATCGACTAACCTGCAGTATGACTGCCTTGTGGTTGCGCAGTAGCACCACGTAGCGCCCCCTGGCGTGAATGCCGCGGATATGCGCCTGTAATCCGATAGCCAGGCGGCGTAAGCGGCCGTGCTTCTGGCTCTGTACGAAGCCGCGAATGTAACGCTGCATAGTGATGGCTGCTTTGGTGCGCTTGAGGAAGCGCAGACGCCTGCAAGAGGGCAGCACCGGTACTTAACGCACGATGACGACAGCAGCGTGGATGTTCGTAACGAATGAGCGATGTAAACCGATCACTACGACGTGATATTGCATTATAAAAAAGCTCAAAACGTTTTGCATGAATGGAGACAGGTGTTTGAGAGATACCTTTGACAAAATCACCTTTGATGTACAAAAATGGTTACAAAGTGATATCACGCAGTAGGTATGGAGTGGTTACCTGCATGTGACAGGTTTAAGCGTGGGTACAGGTAGATGAGTGGTTACCCTCATGTAACAGGTGTAGGAGTGGGCATAGGTAGATGGGAGGTTACCTGCGTGTGACAGGACAGGTGTAGGAAAGAGTACACATAGCGGTAGGTAAACGATTACCTACACACAACAGGTAGATAAGCGATTACCTACAAACGACAGGTAGATAAGCGATTACCTACAAACGACAGGTAGATAAGCGATTACCTACAAACGACAGGTAGATAAGCGATTACCTCCACACAACAGGTAGATAATTAATCACCCACACACGACAGGTAGATAAGCGATCCCCCCACATACGACAGGTAGATAACGAGTTTGCACAGGTGAGAGCATGCGTACCTGCGCGCGACGAAACCGCGCACGATCCTCTGCACGGTAACCGTGGCACTGCGCAGCCTCTGGTAGCGAGTGCGATGCAGAAAGCCCCGCACATGCTTCTGTATCATGATGCCGCACGCTCGCAGCCGGTCCGAGCGCAGCTTCTCCATGTAGGCGACCTGACCCGCGCGGAAGAAGATCTTCGTCTTGCCGAACTGGAACTTGTCCGGATCCTGCCGAGAGAGAGAGATAGAGAAGGGTACGGCGATGACGCACGATGAAATTAGGGGATGCAAGCAGCGGTTTTAATGCCTAGCCTACAATCTACTACTGCCTGGGTGCTGCCGAGAGAGAGAGAGAGAGAGAAGGGTACGGCAACGTCAAATGGCGGCGTTTTCCATGGGCAGTGGGAAATGCATTATGAAGCGGCGCAGGGTTACGAAATAAGGGGGAAGCGAGCGGCAGTTTTATGCCTACAAGGATTCAGTTCGCTACCTGTTCTCAATAAAAAAGAAAATCTCTAAAAAAATTTCCAGAACCTCCTAAGCCAGATTCAAAACCACAAAAGATTCTGTCTGAGCCGCACATACTGCCGCAAGTACTTGCTGCCTGGTAAACAAAGTTCATTTCTAACCCTGAAAGCATCTCAAGGCTTCAGATGTGTTATGCCCAACGTGACATACGACATTCGCGACATGATTGTGCACACGCATCGACGTGAATTATCGTAACACGGGCAACATATCTACTCGGTTTATTGATTCACAGCTTTAATTCTGGGTGATGACTACTTGCTGCTGATGCGCATGTATGTTTTACACAGTGTATTGTATTGTGTACACACATTGTGTATGTGTGCGGGCTTCGTAGGCACACTCCGGTCTGACTGCATAACTGCCAGCTCACCTTGATAAGGTTCTGTAGTAGATTCTCGCAGGTAAGCCTCATGTCCTTCCTATTAATATCTTTACTCCTTATTAGCACCCGATAGCGGTTTAAGAACTCTTGGTATGTCCACCTGAACACAGAGACAAACATTACTACCATTACACATTATACATTATGCGTACAGAAATATTATAATTTGGATGCAAACCTTTTTAATTTATCACTTGAAATACCAAAATGCTCGAGTCAAAGGTGAGAATTTAAATGCTTATGCACACACATGCAGCCTCAGACACCACACACAGCCTCCAACGCCACACACAAACACAACCTCAGACACCACACACACAGCCTCACAGACCACACACCCTCAGACACCACACACACCCTCTAACACCACATGCGCACGCATACAGATTCACGCACGCACGCACGCACGCATGCACGCACACACACACACACACGCACACCCTCACACACCCCCTCAGACCTCACATACACACCCTCCGACCTCACCCACAACACACCCTCAGCGCGGCGTACCTAGACGGGTAGCCGGCGGCGCTGATGCGTATCGTCTCGAGCACGCCGCACGCGCGCAGCTGCTGGATCGCTCGCTTCGGGTCGAACTGGAACGACTCCTTCTCGTCGTTCGGCTTGATGCAGCGAACGTAGTGCGGCGTCGTCGTGTTCATAACCTCCATGAGCGCCTTCAGCGAATCGCGGAACTGCGCGCGAGACACACGAGACGAGAAATTATCGAGACGTTGAGACACGAGGCCAAGACGTTGAGACACACCGGCGAGCAGCAGTACTGCGTGAGACGTCAGTCACGTGGTGACCGAGACGTCGAGACGCGAGATGCGAGATCATCGAGACATCAAGACACGAGGCACGTGGTCACCGAAATGTTGAGACATGAGGCGCGAGGTCCCCGAGACATTGAGATGCGAGATCATTGAGACGTCGAGACGAGAGGCGCACGGTCACCGAGATGTAGACATGCGGGGCGCGAGACATTGAAAAGTGAAATGCGCGGTCGTCGACACATTGAGACGCAAGGCGCTCGATAAATGAGACGTAGAAATACAAGATGGGCGGTCACCGAGGCACGATCGTCCATGTAATCAGTAATACGCTCACCTGCGAACCCACAGTGCTCTTGCGCGACTTTTGACTAGAGGGCTTTGCCGGAGCCTTGCTCTTAGATGGCTTCACCACAGCTTCAGTGAACAGCTCCTTCACCAGGTCGTACTGTGGGGAGAGAATGAGCAATGAGGCACCGACCAAGACTGGACGGGCAGGCCATTAGATACTGTATACGCCAAATTTTTCGCGTACAGATATTTTCGCGAATTCAGACTTGACGAACAATTTCGCGAGTGGTTAATTCCGTGGTTGGTGAATTACGAATTATTCGGTATTATTCGGCATGAATTATTCACGTGTTGTTATTTTCGCGGTCGGGGACACGTTCGCGAAATTCGCGAAAATTAAACCACTGCGAAATATGCAGCATATACAGTAGCTGAATACGAACACTCACATGCTCACCGGGAGTAGATGATGACATGATTTGCCATGATACTAATGAGATGAAAATTAAGACGGTTTCGTGATGGTCAATATAAGTCTACTTAGCCAACCATCCTTGTTGTTGCCATAAACAATCTGTAAACGCTTGGTATTTCCTTACAATCCTCAACTTAAGCAAAACTGAATCACGTGTACTAGTCGCAATTATGAAAATAACCTGGTTTCTACTGGAATAGATGTGCATAGACACTTACAAATACGCAGATTACAAACACCCATCTACTTATCCACCAATCCACATACCCACATTGCTATCCACCTAGCCACACATCAATCTCTACCTATCCACGTTCTCAAATACCCACCTACTAACAATCTACATACCTACCTATCTACCAATCTACACACGTACCCATCTCTCCACCTCTCTATCTACATACCTACCTATCTACCAATCTACACACGTACCCATCTCTCCACCTCTCTATCTACATATCTACGTATCTACGACAAACACGCGTTGTGCGTCTAGCCCACCTTACTGGTCCTCAGCACAGCTAGATGCTCCTCTATCACAGTATCTCGGTTCTTCTCGAGGAAGCCCAACACCTCGTACTGGACGTTGTCGGCAAAGTGCAGCACGATGAAGGCGGTGTTGGACAGTCGTGGCTTCGCAAACTGCTTGCTCTTACCCTCCATGTTCTTGTACATCTTATCGCACCACGACTTGTCCGAACCTTTGGGCATCTGGCGGAAAACGAAATCAGAATCATCGATACCCACGGTTAGAAGAAAACCTTCATGAACGAGGTTTATGAAGTTTTATAAATATATAGTTTAGTTTAGAAATGTTTAGCAAGATGTATTAGTGTGGCATGGTCGACTGGATGAGTAAGTTTTACAATGTGTTACAATTACAAATGTAAGCTGGTGCTTGCTGGTGCTTTGCTCTTTGCAAAGTACTCGAATTATTTGGGCGTGTACCCACACAGTACCCACACAGTGCTAAATAAATATTTAGTCACTTCCCTACATTGAAAGCGCCTATTCACTGGGTGTGCAGTTATGTTTGACTTTGTTTTCTATATCACAGCATGAACACCTATGGAGTGTTCTGAGCAAGTAAAGGGTCTACATGGTATAGCAAAGTCTATTGTTTACTCAACAAGTTATAACAATCAAAAAGGTAAGCTACGTCAACACACAGGCTTGAAAACGTAAACACACAGGCAGTCCATCATGTGGGTTGCAGCAATTCTCTCAAACATATTCATATTCTGGAACCACACCTTCCTCTCTTTGGACTCATTTCTTTAGTGTGACCAGAAATGGAATGAATAAAACTGCAGGTTTCAATAGCATCATCAAAGCCCTATCCAATTCAACCATGTCTTTACACAACACATGCCCTGCCCCCTAGTGGCTCCTGTGGCACGTTGTGTTAGTGATACCAGGAACGCACTGCCACCTGGTGGTTACTTTCATATTTCAAAAAAGAACTCTGACACATCTCTTAGTAGCTACTGTGGCATTCAGGGGATAGGTACGTGCTGTGAGAAAAAAATGTAAGTGCTGGATTTGCGATATCTCGCGACAGCAGTACGTGCAGTGGGGCTACTGCTCCTATACTATTAGTTCTACTACTACTAGTACTGGCACTAGTGCAGCACATACTCTGCATTCCTCGTCCAGTAGGTCCAGGATGCCCATCTTTGCTTCGATGAGGTCGATACAGGGCTGGTTGTCGTAGAAGTCAATGAACGACCACTGGATCTTCTCCTTCACATACTCCTCCTGCTCCAGCTTAAACACATGCTGCAGAGGGGAAAGGAAACACGAGGGGTTAGTCGCGCAACGTAAACTCATACACCGGTAATAATATTGTTGTTGTTGTTGTTGTTGTTGTTAATTTGAGATAGCTCACCCTGGTTTATTCTAGCGATTGCTCCCAAGTGTCTTCATTGTTTAGGCAACATGGTAAATAACCTTCCTCAACCAGCACCCACTTATTTTTTATTGATGACCAATTCATATCTCGGTGAATTGTGAACTAAAGAAATTGTCATTCTTTAAAGTGAATACATAGGGTTCAAACCATGTTGCTTGTGTTTAGCATGTTCCCTTGGGGAAAACTTTTTCTTGACGAAAAGAATTTTAGTGTAGTTTTATTTGTGTTGCCCTTCGTCTTCAAATAGGCTGGAAATCCTACATACTGGTACAGGGATCATGGCCATACATCCACTTATAATAAATGGAGCATGTATGAAGAATTTATCCCCAATTTCGACATTAATAATGCACTAGGGCCGTTTAATTTCAAGGTAATAATTATAATTAATTTAATCACACAACTCACTGAACAAGATTCCCACCTAACCTGCTATTGGACAACATGATAATTAAAACTTTAATACTTCAATCACTCACATTCAAACATTAAACAAACAAACAACATTGTAAACAATTACCGATAAAAGGAAAAGGTAGAACCTACCATGTTAAACTGTTGTTGTAGTTTCTCGTTTGCATAGTTTATGCAGAACTGCTCAAAACTGTTGATCTCAAAGGTTTCAAACCTGCAGACATACAGCAGAAAACAGACGTGAGCACAGTGAAATATGCACCACAAAAGTCTTCTGAAAATCATCATCTTACAAAAAAGAGGGAATGAGAAAGACGATGCCAAATATTTTGCCACCAACGATTAGTCATTAGTAAACTGAAATCGAGAGAATAAAATGAAAATTTCTACTGACGGGCACGCATGATTTACACTAACTCAACCAGTATCGATGGCAGCACCTCTGCGCTTAGTAACCTCACCCATAGATGTCGAGTACACCGGTGAATCGTAGTTTCTTGGCTGTACACTTCAGCTCACGATTAATCTGCAGCACTATCCAGTCGAAGAGCTTTGCATAGATGTGCTTCGCGAGAGCATCTCTCGCGAACATGGCCTGTAAAGGTCACGGTAACCATAGCAATGCATGCAACAACCCATTCTAATGCAAGACTATCTATTTCATATTACCGAGAGTACGTACATTTATAGATGGACATATGCAAAATAGCAATGGACATGACAAACGAACAACAATGACGATGAAACGACAATACAGAACGTGCATAGAGGAGAAAATCTCCACTTATTTCTCACAATACAGAAATTTAATCAGCTGTTGATATTGCAGCCTAATTTCATCGTATTAAATGCATAACAACCCCAGGCACGGGAAAAGATGGACTATAAACGAAGATGATGATGATGATGATGATTAAATGCATAGCGAATCATTGTATGTACACATGCAATAATCAATATATACATGCTACAAAATTACGAACATCCGACATAGCCTTGTAAACATTCCTGTGAGACGGACATCCATTTCTCCACGGGAATCCATTATCTAAAACACCGCTAGAGAACGGCACCACCTCGCATCAGCCTCTCAAGGTTTCGAGAGATCTTAACGCCCGCTGTAGAAAACGTACGTCTGTTTTCTTGAGTCCCTTGATGTAGGTCTCTCCGTGGGTGACGATCTTGCGGCTGCACAGCCAGCCTCTTAACAGTTCCACATCAACACCTAGCAGGTCCGACACGATCCCGATCTTTGGGTTTCCCCTCTGCAGAATGAAAATTCACTCGTCACGAACGCGAGAACGCGTCTCAGTGCATTTGTCGCACAACGGCGAATTGCTGGTGCCAAGAGTTGGGCAATTTTCACAAAAACGTAAAACCTTATATGTCGTCCGCACGGCGACGGATAGCTGTGCAGGGAATAATGAGTCCCTATCTCTCCCCCCCCCCCCGCTGCCTGCCCAGCGGGAAAAGAATAATTGAGTGGGAGTAGATCACGGAGAAAAATAGATGGTGCCTGGTGCTGGCTATGTGTAGGGTCCCTGTATACAGAGAGTTGCGACAACACAGGAATTGACGCCATATTGTTTCCAAATGGATCCACACCGCTGCCGCTCAAGTACAGTGCTGTATGGATATGCTGTACAATGGTCCGTAGTAATTAATTAGACTAATCGTGCTTTAATAAACTCAAAATTCACAGAGATTATAGCTAAGACATGTGTCTATGTGTATCTAGATTTCTAGAAATGTAACTCAAATCGTTCGCGCCATAATAATATTCTGATAGTTTAATTGTACACTTTCTTACCGCCCATAGCCGTGCGTATATTAGCCTGTGCAATACCGCGCGTAGATAATTGCTATAATTAATTAAACCACTCGCGCTTCAATAAACAACATATTTATTGCACCCATAAGCCCAGCAGCCAGTCATTTTGGAAGAATATGACAACTGTAATTCATAAGATAAATGCGTTCCACTCTCCACTCGCTCGCAGCTGTAATATGTGTTTTTCACGTGTTCCATGAATTAGTCAGTGGAGCTAGACTAGGGGTTGTTGTAGTAATAGTCTATCTAAGGTCCCTATATACAAATTATCCCTTTGTATATAGGGACCCTAAGTCTATCTAGACACAGCGTCGCGCATCTTGTTGCGGCTGCATTGATGTTCACAGGTTCTGGTTCTGGTCGCGAGAGAAAGCACACGCGCGTGCCACGCGCGTGTGCGTGGTTTTGTGTCTCTTTGTGCGATGTGTCTACACTTACATCCTTATACATTGTATCCCTTAATTACCTTATATCACTTTGTATATAGGGGCCCTATCTACACTGTGCCTCGTCTACACGACGAACCTTAACTCGAGTTAAGCTAACTCAAGTTAAGCGTTAACTCTAGTTAGCGATTATGGAGCGTCTACACGACAACACCCGATAGCGATTATTACCGATTTATTATGCATGCGTGCGTGCGTGCGTGTGTATGTAAACGTGTGTGCATGCGTGCGTGTGTGCGTGCGTGTGCATGCGCACGTAGACGTGCGTGCGTGCGTGCGAGCGTGTGCACGTACACGTGCGTGCATGAGTGTGTGCGTGCGTGTGCAAGTACACGTGTGTTATCTATGATCTCTGTGATTCTTGAGTTTATTGAAACGCGAGTGGTTTAATTAATTATAGCAAGTATCTACGCGCGGTATCGCACAGGCTAATATACGCACAGCTATGGGCGGTAAGAAAGTGTATAATTAAACTATCATATGGCGCGAACGATTTGAGTTACATTTCTAGAAATCTAGATACATATAAACACATGTGTTATCTATGATCTCTGTGATTCTTGAGTTTATTGAAGCGCGAGTGGTTTAATTAATTATAGCAAGTATCTACGCGCGGTATCGCACAGGCTAATATACGCACGGCTATGGGCAGTAAGAAAGTGTATAATTAAACTATCATATGGCACGAACGATTTGAGTAACATTTCTAGAAATCTAGATACACATAGACACATGTCTTAGCTATAATCTCTGTGACTTTTGAGTTTATTGAAGCACGATTAGTCTAATTAATTACTACGGACCATTGTACAGCGTATCCATACAGCGCTGTACTTGAGCGGCAGCGGTGTGGATCCATTTGGAAACAACATGGCGTCCAGCAATCACGTGACCGATTTTTTCCGACTCGTCATGTCGCAACGCTCTGTATATAGGGACCCTAGCTATGTGTGGTGATGCTGGGGATGCTCGGACAGCACACGATCGCACTCGCGACCTTGGGGGAAGTGCTAACCTTGACAAGACTGGTGTCGTTCTCGCCATCCACAATCTTCACGTTGCCCATGTGCAGAATCGCTGCCAGGATTCGGAAGATCATCATCTGATTCTCTTCGTGAATGCCTGCAAAGCAATGCAGCGTCGGGAGACGTCACCTACTGTATACGCTGTATATTTCGCCGTGGTTTAATTTTCACTAATTTTGCGAACAGGTCCCCGACCGCGAAAATAACAACATGCGAATAATTCATACCAAATAATTCATGATTCACCGACCGCGAAATTAACCACTTGCGAAATTGTCCGTCAAGTCTGAACTCGCGAAAATATCTGTCTGCGAAAAATATGGCATATACAGTATATGGCGCCCCGCGTCGTACACGCACCAGCCAAGTAACGAGTATCGCATCTGTGTGCTGTTGTGGACATAGTCGCATTTTATTCCAAAAATATTTTAATGGTGAGCGCATTTTTGTTGATGCTGCATGTTTACAATGGGACGCTTTTAGCTCACTGCAAAGTGGTTATACTTGGTATTTCTCGCAGCTAGTTTTAACAATTACTCGTAAAACTTGCACATACCTGAAAACGGTACATTGTATGTGCATTGAGGCACTCATTGTATAAAACACATGCACCTAATGTACAAAGCACACACGTATATAAATACCAAGACGAGGAGAGAGCATGAGAGCGAGAGCAAAAGAAGACGAAAAGGAAGAGAGAGCACGAGAGAGCACGAGACGCATGAGAGAGATCAGAGCACGAGAGCACCGGAGAAGGAGAGAGAGACGGATGAGCGCACGAGAGAGAGGACGTGAGAGAAATGCCGCGCGAGGAGAGAGAGACGATATGAGATCAAGAGGGAGCGAGAGCTGATGAGTTCAGCTGAAAGGAGAGGCGAGAGAGAGAGAGCAAGAGACAGAAGCAAGGGCGAGAAGAGAGAAGCAAGCAGCTCCTGAGAAGACAGTCGACACGCGAGAGAGAGAGAGAGAGCGTCGGCGAGACGGCGCAGAGAGAGAGCAGCCCAAGAGAGAGAACTGACGTGCGCGAGAGACGGAAGAAGAGAGAGAGAGAGCGAAGACAGTGAGACGAGAACAGCGCCAAGATGAGCAGAGAGAGAGAAAAAGGCGCTGAGATATTATGCTTCATATCTAAGCCCCCCCGTTTGATATCTAATTGGATATCGCATCCACCGCGCCCTTTTATATCTCTTTTATATCACGACATTATGCACATTTCCAAAGTTCAGGACGCCCGCGA